CCCCCCCCTCCGTCCCACCCCCCCAGCTTCTGGCCTGAGCCACTGCAAGCATAGACTAACCTGCAAAGATTGCATCAATTCAGTCTTTGGCATTTTGAATGTCTGTACTTACCCAAAAGGTTGAGCACCACTGATATAAAGGATTGATCAAATGGAATGCCAGCCATAATGCTTAGTCACTGTGCAAGGAGGTAAGCCTCAACTGGTGCCCTTTAGCCACCCTATCATCCTGTAGACAAGCAACACCCATAGCTATTCTTCTGGGGACTCCTGCTGCTGCCCTCCCTGCCCTCTGGCAGCCCCTCTAGAGGCGGCTCCCCTCGTGTTCTAAGCAGCTCTCTGCCACCTGTGGACAAGTAGCCCGGCAAACGTGGGACTGTGGAGCTACACTTTTCAACCTAGCTCATCCTCTCCCTCCCCACTCTAGGAAGGTGTCTTCAGTCATCAGCTTGTGAGACCCTGGAGAAGAAGCCTTAGCAGCAGAGTCGCCCTTGCCCCTCATGTGTAGACTGGAGCTGGGGAGAGGAAAGAGCAGTGCACATTGGAGTGACGTTATGCACCATTATTTGCAAGAGCACGAGCTAGCTTCTAGCTCAGTGATTTTCAGTGGTGCCACTAAATTCAGAAAAGTTATTGAGGCTAAAAAGGTTGAAAACCTCTGGTATAGAGGAAGCCATATCTTACAAAAATGTAGATGCAAAATCAGCTGTCTGTTTTGGGCAACAAGAGTGCATTTAGCTTACCCCAGGATTCATTTACATAGTGTAGCATGTTATTCGGCATCACTAAAAGGTGAAGTCTAAGTAAGTCATGCATGTTTATCATCCTATTTTAAATACATTTTTTAATTTAATTTTCCTAATTAGCGTGGTTTTCTTCTTACAGTTAACAAAAGTTATCACTGCATTGTTCTGTACTGGAATAGCATGGTAATGTTAATTTGAACTCTTGCCAGAGTTAGATGATATGATAGACACACAAGAATACTGTATTTTTTGATATTTCTGCACCTATTGGTGAATTGTAGATACTAACTTGTATGTATCAACTGTACTGGTAATCAGCAACTGTGGTGGAGAACAGTTAAGCAGACTTTCTTAACTACATTTATTAAATGGACACTGAACAAATGAGAGAGATTTGATTCCCTTGCTTAATTTATTTGACATCATTGGGTAGTCTGGTGGTATTTTACCTATTTTATGTTTGAAAAAGTATCTTCAGACAGGTCACATGAGTGAAAAAATACCAGGAATCTTGTATAACCACAGTATATAATGTTTGTTCTGTGGGGAGTATCATTTCATTTTTCACCTCTGACATACCAAAATATTTAGCAAGTATTAAATTTTTAGTTAATTTGTAAACATAAATTTGGTTTAAGATTGCATAAAACTACAGCAGATATATGTAACTGATGCTTTACTTCCTATTTCCAGTATCTAGCATTGTATTTACATTTTGTACATCACATCTAACATTCTATTGTAGTCCCATTTCTTCAGTGAGTTGCATTATTTGAGGGGATTCTCCGTATACTATGCACTTGCACCATATAAATGAATTAATAACAATCCTGCAATATAGTATGTCATAGTGGACCACTTCTTTGTAAATCCTGGAAAGATTCTAAAGACTCAAAAGTAAAGCATTTATAATTATTTTCCCATTTTCTCCACTTCCTTGAGTGCATGTATTTCTTCTTTGACACAGTTCCTTTTTACAATTTCAATATGTATTCCACAGGGAAAAAGACCGAGAGCACGCAGAATTTAAGTTCTTCAGACTTTAAATCTGTTCAAGAAAATAAGGGATATATGAAGAAAGAACATGAAGCCCAGCACGTAAGGCAGAAGTAGAGAAAGTGGTTATTGACAAGATTCATAAAACATTTGGAAAGAATAACAAAAATGTCAAGTGTTTGTTGATTCTATTCATAATATAGAAATTGGAATTAAACTTCTAGCTGTTAAATATATAAACTACCTTATTTTTGAATCTAAGACAAGTTTTTTTACCTTCCAGTCAGTCGGTGGCAGGGAGGTCATCTTATAATTGCATACAAAGTCTGGGGTTGGGGCTGGTGGCTGCTGTGGCTCTAACTCTGGTCTGGAGCCTGGGTCAGGGCCAGAGTCATACCCATAGCAGCTCCTGCCCCCACACCCTTTCTTGTCATTTACCCTCTTCAGCTTCTTTATGTACATATGAGTGCATAAAATATAAACAATCAGTTCATAACTCTCTTTATAAATAATTTATATTAGTTACATAGTACCAGAATAAATATCTGATGATTACACTTTGCACACTCAGCTCTGCATTTCAGAACTTTTTGTATGTCAGCTTTCTGATACACAGGCATTTTAAATGTTAATGCTACTTTTGAATAAACAGCACAAATAACAAATTGCAAATATTGGAGATATTTAGGGAAGGGCTAGTACAGTGCAACATGAAAGGGTTCAGTTTAAATCCCTAGTTCTTCTCCTCTTGTTGCCTGGCTTCACTTTGCAGTGGCGTCTTTAGCTATTCAGGAATAAATCCCAAGTACTTTGCAGGGAGGTAGATCCAGACCTGTGAGAAACATTGACCAGCAAATTGGGAGGGTGAGGATGAGGGAGTGGCTTGTGTTGCAAAATACTGACTATTAATTAACGATGCTGTTATCAGTTTCATATTCCCCACCCTTTTTTTTTTTGCAAACTGAAAATGAACTTCTCGCCGTTTTTGTTGCATATTATATGAACCAGTGCTGAACTCAACATTTTTTGTTTGCCAGATTTTTCTGACTGTTCCTCACCCTGGAATCAATGGGAAAAATAAAACTGAATAGAGTTTTCCAAAAAGTTCAGATAGCTGCATGATACTCAGAGATTACTTTCAATTCTATTCACTCCCAAACTAGTTCTAGTCGCAAGTTTTTGAAAGACAGTCCAGGCAAATGCAATCTTGTCTGTCCTGAGTGTGGATGTACTTTGATTTCCTAAGCCTGTGTAGGGAAAAAAGCATTTATAAGGCTTGGCCAATGGATCAGGAACTGTTACATTCTTCTAATATTTGGTTTATTTCCTTTTTAAAAATTAAGATAATTCATTGCAAACATAAAACAAAAATAATCAAAAACCCCACATCAATACATTTTAAATTTAGATTTTAACATCTACATAATCTAGGAAATTTAGAGCTAAGCTTTCCCTGGCAACTAAGTCTTCCATCCTTCTTCTATCCTATAAACATGGAGTTTTATTTCTCTTCATATAATTAATAATAATGGGCAAACTGACATACTGTTTTGCCACTATTTAGTTCTTTTTTTTCTTTTCTTTTTTCTTTCCTTATTTTTAAACACATAAAGACTGTATGGGAGTATAAGAAGTGTTGATTTTAAAGTTGGTCCACGATATTTAAAACCAAAGTCAATGGTGAGGGCCAGGGGTATATCATATTAGAATAGAAAATTACCTGAAGATGGCATCAGTGCCTAGCTTTTGAACGCTTTGGATCGAAGCAGAATCTGGAAAATGTCAATATTTTTGGAAATTATTTACTAATAAGTGCTGCTTATTGACTATGATGTTTCTGATATAAGACATTGGCATTATTATTTCAGGGTGTGCATGAGACTTTAGATATTGATCCATGATGATCCTTGTTACCATCCATTGGGTTGACTTTGTTGCCATAATTGGGAGGGACTTTTGTAAAAACACCCTTCAAGAGTACCCTCCTGATTTTCAGAAAAGGTGTGTGAAAGCCAAGCAAAGGTTTCAATAGGTGCCCCAAACACACTAAATAATAGAAACACGGAATGAATTTTTAAGACAACCCTATTTATATTATTCATTACTGTAGGGAAGTTTAAAGGTAGGGGAAAGTTTATAAGAAAATGAGTATAGGAACAAAACACATGCTAGAGTCCTTACCCTTGGCACTTTGAGGAAATTGCAAAGTCCAATACTTGCCTATAAATATCTTGACTAAGTTGTAATTAATCTACAGTAATATTCGTGTTTTAAATGATTTGCATCTTCATAAATGAAATCTGAATAGAATATAAAGCAGTTTTCAAATTAATAATAAGCTGAAAAGAATACAATTTGCTACTGTGTTCTCTGAAGGTTTTAGTGCGAAGGAGCAGCAGTCCAGCTGAATTGGATTTGAAAACAGACCTGCAGTCTCACAGAAGTCCCAAGGAAAGAGAAAAGAGTGAGTTTTAGGAAATTAGATACTTTATTCGGGGCCAATTTTAGTAATTTGTGATGACATGGTAGTTTGACTAATCAAAGATGCAGTACTGTTTACTGATTTTACAGTATATTTCTTGTAGTGCATGTGTCTTTCAAATCCCTGCTTACCTTAGGTGAAAGTTTTAGTAGTGACACATCCTTTGGCTACAATAACGAAGTAGACATCACCCTGCTTCCCTGGCAAACATGTGAAGAAGACCATGAAGTTAATACAACCACAGATGTTTGTGCTGATCCAGATGTACGTCATTGGCTGCAGCTTAGTCCTTCAGATGCTGCAAATTTAACAGGTACTTAATGTTCAGTAAAAAGTAATTAATTGATTATTTACTTTTATGTTTACAATGGAAACATATCTGATAGAAATTTTACTTCTCAATATGCTTGCATGCTGTTCTGTAGAACAGTATTTATTTTTAAAGTAGATGACAATGTCTGACATGAAATTTAAGCCTAGTGTCAAAGTTCTTTTTTTAATTTAAAATATTTTACCTATTTATAATGTCTCATTCTTAAGCTTGAAATTATATTAACAGTACCTTGTATACAGTACTAGTACTGATAAGGAAAGATGCTAACTTCTCCTCAAAGAATGCATGTTAACTGCCACCTTTCATTTCATCACAGTATATCTGATTCCCAAGACTAGACATAACAACTTTCAAAAAAAATGAAAAGCATTGTCACTAACCCAGCAAATATAGAGAGCAGGTAATGAAATGGGAGTCAAAGGGGGAAAAAAAAGAGAGAATAGAAGAAATGTCAGCATGGGTGACTGGTGCCTTCTGGCTCTCGCGGAGCATCAATTGCTGACTGCCGACAGAGGGGGGGTCCCCCAACAGCCAGTCACCAGGAGGAGAGCCAGTGGCAAACCAGAAATGCCGCCGGCACTTCTCAGGAGGTACACTGACTGGCACTACCCACTCCCTGGCTGGCGAGGGCCAATTTTAGGGGGGGCACATGCCCCCCTCCATGTCCACCCTGTGCGTCGCCTATGAATGTCAGACAATACTAATAAATAATAGAGAATAGCTACTTTCCAGGTTCTTTGTGACACTCTGAGGTCCCCTCTACACATTATAGGTATTGCACAATTAATTGGAGACCAGTGCAAAGTATCTGTCATACAATAAAAAGCTCCAACCAGCTATAAAGAAAATAGGTACTATATAACTGGTTCCTGTTGAGCCTTAATTTGCATGTGTAGCATGGTCTCCCCTACTGCTGGGAGCCCCATCAGCTGACAGGGCTCCCAGCCACACAAGTGTACAGTGGCCACAGTGAAACCCCCAAACCATAGGGATTGTGGCAGTTGGGATCCCCAGGGTCCGGGAGAGCACAGAACCCTTGGACTTAGGGGATGGTGGCTGCCATGATCCTGAGGGCTTGTGGGGAGGAGGGGTGTGAAACCCCTGGGTTGGGGAGGTTGCGACTGTTGTGACCCCTATGGCTCTGGGGTGCAGGAAACCCCTGGGGCCAGAGAATCACTGTAAGGCAAACCCTAGGAGTGTGGGTTGCGGAAAATCCCCTGGGCTAGAGGTTCACCAAAGGGGGAACCTGCACTCGGGGGGTGCAGGAAACCCCTGGGGCTGGAGGATCTCAGTGATCCTCTGGCCTTGGGGGTTTTCCTATACCCCCAGGGTAGGCACATCATCCTGCAGGAATCCTCTGGTCCCAGGGGTTTCCCCACATGCCAAGGATGGGGCATAGGCCCTGTGGTTATCCTCTGGCTTCAGGGGGTTCCCCATACCTCGGGTGGGATGGGATCGCTGCAACAGAGATCCTTTAGCCCTAGGGGTGTGTAGGGCACTTCTGTGGCTGGGCGCCCCTCAACTGGGGTGTGTGGCGCTCCCAGCTGTGGGAGCCTGCTTCTTGACAGTGCAGGGGAAGCTCGATCCTGGGCTCCCCCTGCACTGGCAATCAGGTGTGATGGGATCTAATGTACAATCCCACATTTGCACCTCCTGCCATGTACATGTGGCATGGCAGGAGCTGCAATTGTGTGAATTGCTCATTAGAGTCCATTGAGCCTTTATCTGCACATGCAGAGGGCCTGATTATCTTTTACTTTGAGCTATGGTAGCAATTAACTAGATAGTTTATCAAGAGAGAATTCAGGAATAGAAAATGTTTGCTCCTGTGAATCAGGTGGAGTTACCAGAAATTATGCTATATTTTTGTTACTCTGCCTGAATATGTATTTAGAAATGAAGGAAGAGTGAGTATTGCTGAGGAAGAGAGACAGCGTTGTAGGTCTGGAGTGGTGTTGTAGTTGTGGTGTTCCAGGAACTATATGACAGACAAGGATTTTTTGTAACAGCCTCTATGAGCGCATCCAGATGAGTGTACATGTGCAGGAGCACACATTTCCCATGGGAAAAATAGCAGCAGCACATATTAACCCGGGTGGGGTGGGGTAAGGGAAGTTGACGTCAGCACCTGTACTGGCCCCAGCAGCCTTACTTGGGGTCCTGGGGGCCTCCTGGGGCAGCAGCTGCACTGATCTCACTGCTTGGTGTCTAGCCTGTAGCCAGAGCATTGCTCTGGCTGGCCAGGCTCCATATTGGGTGGCACATACTGGTGCCACGTGTGCCGTGCCACATTTTTAACAGTGTTTTTTTTGACACTGAGATCTCCCATTGTCAAATTTTGGCACTGAGCTGTAAATTAGGAGTGCAGTGCCACAAACCACATGCGCATGCTCGTCGACGTGGGTTATGGGATCAACTGTACAGTTAGCAAAGCTAATGAGCAAGGTTTCAGGCATCCAGAGCCCGTTTTCAAATCTAAACCTAAGGTCTAAGCTTAGATCTGAGGAAGGGCACCTGATGCCCAAAACCTTGTATAACAGCTCACCCAACTGTACATTAGTCCAGTAAAACATAACGCAAAAATCCTTGCCATTTCCCAAAAAGTATTGTTTGAAAGCTAAGAAACTCTGTTTACTAGACTTAAAACTGGCACTAGCATGTGTGAAACTTGATACTGTTTAGAAGGGGTATTTTGTACTTGGTGTGCAAACTGTGTTTATAGATAATCCATGAGTTTTGATGGTCCATGTTAATATACAGTTGAAAAAAAATCTGTCTATGAATTCTCCATACTAAATGTTTATAAGGTAATAATATTTTGAACTTGCATTTAGACAGTGGTTAAATGATTAACAGCATTGTTATTTGGGGAGGGATTTTCAGAAATGCCTAAGTGATAGGAGCATTGTGTTTCAAATTTTAAAATTTCAAATTTCTTGGAGCTTTTCTAGCCAGGGACACTCAAGTGGATTATTTGAATTAACTAAAGGTGAAAGTGGATTGGATAAACCACCTTAAATCCCTGTTTGAACACACTTGACATAAATAGCCTTAATTTGATTTAGCTTAACTTTTCTAATTTTTACTCTGCAGACCAAAGCTCAGGCACTTTAGAAAATCTAGCTGATTATCTCTTTCAGTTTGCCAACTATTTAAATTTTAGATATGCAAATAAGGAGCATCTAATTAAAAATATTAACAAAAGTTGTTTTTATCTCTTTCAATTTAAATGTGTGGCTTTTGTCTTAGCTTGTTCTTTTCTTGAATATGTAGCTTAAGCCGAGAAGGGATGTAGAATAATAAATTTATATTGGAAAAATATTTAGAGGAACATTATGCAATCTTTTCAAATTATTTTCCTCAGGATATCATTTTAAAAAAATCAGTTGCACATAACATATACATGGGACACCCTGGTCTGGGGAATAGGCAAGAGGGATTGTGCTGCTGTTCCCTTTCCTCCATCTGGTCCAGGAGGGGAGGGAGTAATGGGGTAATGCTGCCAATTATTTCCCTGATGCTCAACTCCAGTCCCTAGGGACTGGGAGGACTGGAGCAGCCCTTGCTCCCCATGCCTTCCCCAGACTGGAATCACTTCTGTTTGGGGAATGTGCGGGGGGCAGGGCAGAGGAGGCAGTGGCAGGCTGAATGCCTGTACTGTTCTTTTTTGCATAATGGCAAAGGAGGCAGTTGTAAGCTGAATGCCTGTACTGTTCCTTTTCCTGGAAGGATTTCTGTTAAATTTCTGGGAAATTTCCACTGCTAAAAATGAACACCTGTTCACACCCCTAATCTCTAGTATTCTAGATATTATGAGGCTATTATATTAATTTTCCATTAATACAGTCTCTATAAAGGCAGCAATAATATAGTCCCTTTTTGATTTGTATCTGCTAAAACCTGGTATTCTGCACTGAAGGATTTGCAACTAGAAAAATTACTAGAAAAAGTTCTAAGCATCTTGATAGTTGTCTTTTTTTATAAAAATGTGAATGAAACTGGTTAATTTGTATATCATCTGGTACGGCATAAAAGGAAAAAGGTATGGCAAGTAACTGTACAAATCTGTTTCCAAAGATGTCTAAGAATATAGGAGTATCAACCTTATTGTTTTTATTTCCCATCTATTGTGCTTGTTCAAATAAAAACATCATTATCACTTTCCCAGATCACAGTTACTGAAGATTAGAAAGATATTATATATATTTTTTTTTATTGTCGTGTTTCTTTTTTTCCCTGCATGTACCTTCTGCAGTTTTTTCCCCTCAAGATTATTTTCCCAGGTTTAACCCTTTGGAGTCTTTATTTCCAAGCATTTTGTATTAATGATGAATAAGAAATGGGAATTATAGGCTCCTATTATTAAGCGAGATTTACAAAGTCAGGCTGCAGGATATGATTAATTGCAATTTAGTATTTATACTCTTTTACAATGCATGCATGTTTCATATCCTTGCTCCATTAGAGTTGGTAGCAATAGTTGTATTGACTTCAGTGGGATAGATTTACCTCTTATCTGTTGATGTTTGTTGAGAGTATTGTGTGTGTGCTCTAATGTTATGGAAGTCTCTGATGTCTTTTGGAGATGCATTAGAATATGTGCTTAATAAAAGTAACACCTTCAGGAAGCCATGTCCAAGTAAATTATATTTTCATTTTAATTATTATAATTTTGACATATTGGGGTATATCATTTATGATTATTTATTGTATTCTTTTCATTCTTTGTAAAGGTTCCTTTTTATCTAATATTTATAAGTCATTGATGTTAATAGTAATCTGGTAAAACAGGATTTTCTGGTAGGCTAATTTCTATGGAAAACTATATTGTTTCAGGGATATCTATTCCATATATTCAGTTCTTCTTTTAAACTCACTTATGCAATGAATCAGTGCAACCAGTTCAGTAGTTCAGGTTGTCATCTGTACAAAAGGAAGATTGTAATATAATATGTGTCAAGGATTATTAGCTAGCAAAT